AAAAAAAAAATTCACAGGGGGGGGGGGGGGCAATGATTTTCCATATGGTGCATGAACAAAGAGAGCCTCTGTTTCTCATTACACATGTGCTCGCTGAAGGAGAGTATTAGGTTAGTGTTTCTTTAAGCGCCCGGCACATTTTTCAGGCGCCTTCCAATGTTTGGCTTTCAAACCGGGGCTGAAGAAAGATGATCCCATGACAGCGCCGCTTCATTATGGAACAGGCTGGTACAAGTGGAGGGAGTGGCCGGCCTGTTTTCCTGCACCCAGCCCCCTGGCTGCCACACCGCTGTCTCACCATGTCTGTGCACACACATGAAAGCAGCACCTCACTGAGGAATTAAAAAAAAAAAAGTGTGCCGTCTTCCAGCAACAGCCCTAACCTCCACCTCCTACCCCTCTTCCTAGCCTGGGAAAACAGATTCCTGTGTTATGGCTGTGAACAAATTTGCCTTGAGTCGAGCACAACCAGTTTCCTGGGCTGCCGTACAGGTCGTGTTAATTACACCCAATGCCAAGAGCTCAAGTCTCCACATGGAGACGGGTGTAGAGTTGCTATAACACAAGAGAGGAGGCGTTAACCAAGGGCCAAGATACGGCAGTTCGAGCGAGAGCACAAAAGGACGGAAACAGTGTGAAGAAATGGCCTTGTGCTTTTAAAGTTTGGAGTTGTTCGTTGCACATGATGTCAGAAATCAGTCAAGCATACGGATCAGGCCCAGTGGTTCTGCTGTCGAGATGAAGGCGTTCATAAATAATGGACAATGCACTGGCTCAAAGGTTCATCTCATTATTGCAAATGGCTTGATGTTCATCCTCCACCTCATCAGGCTGAATTGAAAGACGACGGCCCCCATGAAGACTGTGAATGACAGTTGACATCACTCTTGTTACCCAGCACCCATTAGCATCACATTACATGAGGCCCAGCACAAGACACCAGAGTAAAAACAGACCTTGATGAGCCTGTAGGACAGATAATAATGTGTGTGGCAGTATAGAAGGCTGAAATAACATGATCAAGATTTTTGTAGAATAGAATTATTGAACATATTTGCACACTGGAGCTAGTGGTGAACTGAAAAACAGTCTATCACTAAATGAAACAAATTTGCATCACTTGAATGCAACATGCTCAACTCACAGTCATCCGTGTTGGTGCATTCAATGGTAAAAGAGAGCCTCCATTTCATTTTGAACAACAAGCTAGCTGTTGTACAAGATGATTTTTCCAATAGACAGGGATAAACATGCCCGCTTCAATCACCATCCCTCCCGCAAGGCTTTTGTAATTTGTATGCTATGTGGGTTTGCAGCTAGCATGCCAGCTCCAGCGTAGTATTGACTGATCATCACGCACAGCCCCTGTGAGCAAGCAAACAAAGCAGCCAGACTAATGATGTTGATTTATTCACATAAGCCTTTACTCGCAGAGCAGATAAATATAATAGCCAGAGAGCTGCTTGTATGGGTGGAATTTGCCCAACCACAGATGATCAAGATGTGTTTTGATTACACAAGACTGTCAATACAGCGAGCCATTTGCATTGAAGAAAGGCATAAACAGTTTATTAAATCATTGTCAGGCATAACAAAAGATTCTAATTAGTAGTTAACTGATATGGGTTTTTAGTGGCCAATGCAGATGCTGACAACAAGATTCAAGTGGCTGATGGTCAGTATAATTATTTAATGAGATCTACATTAAACGAAAAACAAACTGAATTCAACTGAACACTTACTTTACACAATATTTACTCAGAATTCTCCAAATACATTTTTAAATCACAAAATGTGCCCGAAGGTCCACAGAAAATCTATTGACAAGGTTAGATTTTGGCCCTATTATCAAAATGGCCAATCTCTGAATTGCCAAATGTCTATTGACTGCACTATATTACTACTATACTATATACTATACAGTTAAAAAAAAATGTATCCTACAAACTGATGGTTTCAACCAAAGCATAGTGCACTGAATAACAACCTTGGATTTCAAAACAAGTCTGTCTTCAAAAGGTTAATAAAGTATCATTAAAAATCAAATTTCCCTATGGAGACAATTAATGGAATTTTTACTTCCGAAAGTATTGTTACACACTCTATAGTACTGTTACAACCTTATTGTGCTAATGCACCCCTGCGGCTCTGCTTATACTTCCAGAGATTTCCAAATGCTCACTGGTGCTTTCAGATGTTGCACAACTTCAGCCTTGTCAAAAGAAATCGATTGAGAAAAACACATCTGCGCAGAGCTTCAATGGGTGTGATGTTTGAAATTGAAAGAAAGCAAAGCTAGCATTCTCTCTGTCCTCTGCTGTTTGAACATCTGCAGATAAAATGGAGTGTGCTACCTATAAAAGATGGGAACGGCCGAGCAGAAGGAGAGATGTTCGCCTAAATACAAGGTCATAAAACGCCACCCTTACTACATCTATTAGAATGTAAAGCACAGGACCAGATGTTTCCATCGCAAGCACTGTTTAATTTAGGATTAGTTCATCCGTCTATAGCTCAGTCTTATAGCCTGTGATCAATAATTTAGAGAGCCCACGAGAGACCAGGCTGTATTACAGCACAGCTGATGGGAGCCGAACACAACTGTAGAGGCCTGGCGAATCACAAGAGGTGACGTGAGAACAATGATAATGTGGACTTGAGAGCTCTGGAGTAGATATGGAGTAGTTGTGAGCGCTTGAAAGACGGCGGTCTGAGTTATTGAAGACGGAAACGAGCACAAGGGGGTGAGATGGAGTCCGAGTGCGATCACGGCCTTCCACTTGAGGAAAAACGCAGCAGTGGGTCTGCTTCAGATTACCTGATTAACTGGACGTTTCAATAAGTCCATTGAAGGCGGTGTACGGCTGGATTATACAGGGGGAAAAAAACATCTGGTTTGAGGTTAATCTTGTGATAAGGTTCTCTTCCATCGCTAGGTCAATTGCATGGAAAACCCTGAACAAACATTAGCATTCTGTGGGAAAGTTTACAGGCGCCGTGGGCAATCTTGACAGGCATTATTGTTGGAAATGTATGCATCTTGTATGACATTTACCAATTCTGAAAATTCCTCATGAAAATGAATACATATTCATAATCATAATGTGCCTCTTGCCAAAAGTTACTTCAGATTCAATGATGTTCTGAGTCTGAGAGTATGCTAGTTAAACCAGCACTTTCTGAAAGCAGATAAGCTTGTTTCTCTAAACAGATGCAACAGATGATCTCCGCCATACTGTAGAATATCACTGAAAAAAATATAAAGATCTAAATTCACAATATCAGTGGGATACTATAAACTTTCTCTCAACAAAATAATAATGAAATACTTAATTGCTTTAATGCTTCATAATCATTTGATTATTTTCTTTAATTATTTGTAATTTTGACACAATTCCTAAGTTCAGGTGTCAGATTCACAAAACTGTAAGAATTAAAAAAACATTTCTTAACTTCTGATTAGATGAACCACAGAAACAGCTGGAAAATAGCCAATACACATACACGCATGACCACACATCAGTTGAATTCTATATTAATAAAAGGGACTCGTCCTGCTCTATATTTTATCATTACTTCATGTAGTTTCTTCTCTGTCATGTGTAAATAACGTGAAGCAGTCCTGCCTAATTATAGATGTGCAAACATCCCTACCACAGTATAAACAGAACAGCAAAACATCTACAGGCTGACACATTTTGACCATTGCACGGTATATGCTGTCATACTGCCCAAGCCCTAGTTCCCAATGTTTTGACATGTAAGATGCCGGAATGTCATTTGGGAATGCTATCAGCTGTGGCCAGTCTCTTGTAAGCAGAAGACACTTAGGGCTGTGACGGTGGCAGATTTTTACCACCGCGATGGGTTAGGGTTAGGCTCTTCGTCTGCACGCGCTCTCTTTGAAATAGAAATCGTTACCACATTTCTTGTTAACATCTTCCATTTATCGCTGTCTCGTTTGCATTTGGCCAGTTTGGAGAAAGCCTCACCAAACCTGACCAGCCAGGCGTTTGCGATCACGGGAACTTGAAGACACTTGTACAAACGCGGATGGGTGACATGAATGTAGATGGCTCCAGATCGGCGATGTAATATTTGGTTTCCCAACAAGGTCCATCGCTCAACACAAAATTAATTTGCTGAATGCAGAATAAACTGTATTTTCCTGTGCTCAAACCTGCCAATCTAAAGGAAACGCTGTGTATGGAGTTTGAGGTCATTTGTGAATTAGGCTACGATAGACCTATAGTCTAAATAACATTCGTATTATGCTTGTTATAGAGTGCGTGACGTCACGTGCACTATTGCCGATGACGCAGTTGTCACGGCGACCGTCACAGCCCTAAAGACACTCAAGCCTTATTCGACACCAGGGAAAGCAGGTCAGCTGCATTCCTTCATAATTGGGTATTCAAACAGTTATCTAACAATATCTAGCAGTTATGCATGAACACATGCAAGCACACAGAGAAACGAAGAGTGACCTAATACAGGCTTGTTAACACTGAGCTATTTTGTTCTGCTTTGGTACTACAATGATATTGCAGTGATCAGTGGTGTCATTCTGTTAAAAAAAGAGAGCATGATGGAAGGAAAAAAAGAGGAATGGAACGAGACAGCCATCTGTCCACAGCAGCAGCATTTAGCTGAGCATTAGTAGCACATGTGCACTCTGCATAACACACCACTGCCTTCTTTTTCCTCACGACACGCCAGACGGAAAAACAGACAACAAACAACAAAAATGTCTGTGAATTATCACATGCTGCCTCAGTAGGACAGGGAAATGTCACTGCAGAAATCCCTTTTCAACATGCTGTAGTCAAACATAATGGAACACTGTATGTCTGCCCACTAAAGACCCAATAACAACAACAACACCCAAAAATTATGCAAGAACAGTTTGACAATGTTCAGTTCACTGGAGAATGCTTTGATTTAAAGTACAGACAATAAAAAAGCTATAACATTATTGTAAAAATGTAATTAAATTTAAACAAGAGAAATTTAAAATAGATAGCACTACAGAAATAAAGATGACTAGACAGATAATGCTACGGCATTTAAATAAGCAGAATTTGCAACAAATTATGCATTAAAAAAGTTTGCAAGGAATAAAAACAAAAAGATGAATAATTTCAACATTTGAATATGTCAAAAAAGTTTAACGTTTAACAGCAACATCATGCTGCCTTCTAAGAGTGTGTTCACACTTATTCGGAAGTCTTGTTTTTTTTGTTCCAGACCAAAGAAGCAAATTTAGGACAATTTTCATAAAATTTTTTGATGGAACTTATGCCTGTACCTAACTGTAATGGGTAATAATATAGCTCAAAAAAGTACCAGGTATGAGTCACCATCACATCTTATTTTTGGTTTAGATGTTTAGATGTCTTTGGTCTGTGTTGCATTCCACACCAGAGTTTGTTTGGAAGCAGGCTGAAAAGAGGTAATATCTCATCTCGGTCCTCTTGTTTGGTACGAAGCAACAACATTTATTCAAATGACCAAACTAACATTAATTTTCATTAAAAGACGTTTAAAAAATAATAATCAAAATTCCAACAATACACATGGAGTATTTTATAATTAAATTCTCGATGGAATCAACTGTGAATTTGCAAGGTATCATGCAATGCAGACTGTGTAACACCTACTATACACTGCAAGTGACACAACAAAACTACAATGCTTCCTTTATAATCAACAAGGCGTAGACAGAGTGTAAATGAGAGATTTCGTTTCCACTGAAGACTGAAGTTTTGTTGATTATAACCAGAGTGTTTGTGAGAGTGCAAAACTCACACATGGACTGTCAATGAGCTCATGCTGAACCGCAGAGCTTTGCATTTTAATGCCAAATCTATTTATCGAAACAGTCATGGGAAATAATCGACTGATTTCGGTCATAATCATGCACTGCTCACAGTTCAGTGTGTTTGTTGATGACGGGACATTGGGTGACCTTTATCTGGGTGCGTGGAGGGAGGGGATCTGAAACAGGGCTCAGGTTCAACATGGCCTTAATGTCTTTCAGCTGTGTGCAGAAATGTGAATTCCTGCAGCTATCACATAAATCTCCACAAACTCAACCCAGTTCACATGCTCTCTGGTTCTTTTCCTTTCTCTCACTTTTTCCTGCCGTGGGGTGCCGAGCTTCTGCTATGTTCTTGTGGTTACCATAGAAAACAGGATGTGATACAGGAAAGGGCCTGCTGGATGGACAGTTGTAATATTTTCTCAAAATTACAGGCAGTGCAACTTTATGACACAAGCATGTGCTCGTCGAGCAGGTTGGGTGAACCCTGAAACAGGAAACGTGATTACTGGGAGAACATGTGCACACACACACACACGCACACATCAACAAACTATTTTAGCTCATTTCAGGGCTGGGGCTTGACATCATGAAAAAAAAAAAAACTTTCCATTTTTCACAATCATTACTGGCATTGTCTGTGTTTCCTGTCGAGAGGCCACTATATTTCTCAACAAGCAGCTCACATTCTGAGGGGCCGACTGCGTAAATCATGCTAAATGAATTTCAGCTGTATAACCAAAGAGTTGCAGACTCTAATGCATGTTAGTCGCCTGATTTTGCTAATCATTCAAGTTAATGATATTAAGTGAATCATGCACACACTTATTGAACAGAACAAATCAATATGTGGCAGTATATCTGGACGCACACAGACCACATTTAGCTGGTATGAAAAGAAAAAGAAAACTAACCACACACCCCAGCTGAAAATACACATGCCTATAAATGTCTCATGACATTACAAATATATTATTATATATTACAAATATAATATTAAAATAAATAGTTTGCCCAAAAAAATGAAAATTTGCTGAAAATTTACTCACCCTGGAAGAAAAGCAATAATATGGACAAAGTACTCGTATTTTAGCCGGGAGAAGGGGTTTGACGTTACAAACAGCATAATAATGGATTGTTTCTTACAAACACACAGCTCTTCACTTCACAAAACATTAATTGATGGACCGGAGTTGTGTGGATTACTTGTGGATTATTGTGATGCTTTGGATTACTGTGGATTATTGTGATGCTTTGGATTACTGTGGATTATTGTGATGACTAATTAAAAGAGTGGCAAAGCATCCCTCAAACTGTATTTAGTAGTCAATAAGTAACATGAGGTGTAGAGTTCACAGAACACTTAAGGTAAAACTTCAGGCTATGCAGGCCAGTTTGTTCCTGCACACTTAACTATGTTTATCATCTGTAGTCTACCGCTGGGCAACAGGATGCAGGCGATAGCCCAAGATAAACATCATAACAGCAGAATGCGAACTACTGAAAAGTGCAAAAATGCAAAGTCATGAAAATAGCCTGTGACCCCGTGCAGGACAGCATTTGAATTTTTAATTGAAATCACTCACCAAAAGCTGCATCAATTGCTTGAAGACATGTTACTCAATAAACAGGCAAACACCAGCCAAGCAATTTCAAAATGCTGAAGATGATGTATACATCCTGATGCCAAGAGTAGAAACACAGCGGGGTATTTCAGCCTCCTAATGGAAGACAGACGTCTGGCCACAGGACTCCCGCCAAATTGCAGCAAAGGCAAACAACTGCACCACGGAATGGAAACTTCATTTCCACTCTTTTTCCTCTTGGCCTCTCTGTCTCTCTCTCTCTTTAATAAACAAAAGCTAGCCTAGTCATATAACTAAATTCCCGCATTTGATCAAGGCCCATTATGTTAAACTGCAACATGATTGCCGTACAGGCTTGTCTTGTTATTTTCACTCACTTACACACCTGTAATTACAGTGGCTTTAGCTGCTTGGTGATAAAGAGGTGTTTGGAGTCAGTAACAAATGACTCTATCAGCGAAGAATGTTTGGGTCCAATCCAAAACAGTCTTTAACATCTGAAGTTAATGTAGCCTATTACGAGCTCTGCATTTCACGATTGACATGTCAAAGCATTTGCATCTTACTGTTACTTGAGCAGTTGCTGCGTCTCGCACAGATACATGGGCTATATATAAAGAGCCCAGGTGGCAGTAGTCCAGGCTCTGTCTGGTATTAAGATGCCTTCTGTCACTGCATTTATCTCAGGCCCGGCCGGATTCTCACAGACGGGATTTTCCAGCAAAGCACTGCAATTAAGTACAGCCCAAGAAACTCACATTCCATTATCACATTCCATGAGGACACGGCCAAAACCACAAGTGAACATTTATGCATTTCACCAGCATGACAGGAACAGTCTCTGACTTTCCATTGTGTTTGGAGAATAAAATTATGTAGGGCCAAACTTTTCACTACAACCCTCTACACACACCTTGGCAATATAATCGCCATTGGCTAATACATTTTTTAGTTTAGTCACCAGACTGATATACTATTTTACACACACACACACACACACACACACACACATATATATATATATATATATATATAAAATTTAGTCGCATGCGAGTGATTTACTCGCAATGTAGAGGGTTGCACTATCAGCAGTAAGTCTGGTCCACACACTCAATTACAAACACACACTTAAAGGGTGTGACACACCAATCCGTTATCAAAAAACTAACGCGTCAAAAGCCATTTGTGTTGCTGCCTCACATCACCTGCATCTGGGCCAAAAAGTTGCACTTGAACACATCACGAAGGCAGCCCATACGTTCAACTTGCACATACGTTCTGCGTCTGCGTGAGAGGAAATAACTGCCTATACCAGCAGGTTGCAGTAGTCTATATTTATCGTTCAAAATTGGGACTCGACGTGCTCAATCGGCCAAAAAGCCACTGACGGGGTCCAACTAATGCTGACGATGTAGAAAACACTGCGAAAACAGATGCGCAGTGGCAGCCTGACTTTGACCGATGGCCAACCTTAAGGTGGAGTCACATTAGCGATATTTCTGTGAAATTTCGGGGGTGAAGTAAAGTCTATGGAGCACAGCTAAAAAAAAAACAAACATATGAGCTTTCTGTTGGTCATTGTGGCGTGTCTGCACGACCAACTTCAACAAGCAAAATCTGTGCAGATTCCTATTTAAATTACTAGATATCACCCGTGATATTTCACTGAACAACAATAAGTGTGACCGCTCCTTTTTAGCAGGAAGAGATCATCTGACTTACATTTAAAGTGAACAGAGCTGCATGTTTTTCAGTGTCAGGTAGCTCTGAGAAACATTACTAGATAATAAACTGCCACTGAGAAAAAGAAATAATTCAGATTACTGTGCAACAGTCTTCATGTGAAACTCTGAAAATCAGAAAATATGGCACAGCAAATCAGAACAGACACTACTCCTTGCAGATATCTAGTTTACTTTCTTCTAAATGCATATCTCAAAGATTTGAAGTCTCAAACCTCACAAATGTTTTCAATTACAGTGTTTAAATTCCTCCTCAGAAGCTTTTAAATACGATTTTGTGTACTGGCAGACTGATATAAACCCATTCACAGCGACTTCCAGCAGCTGTAGAGAAGTCAAGCAATATGACAGGAGCTTGTGATTTTCACAAACGCTTTCCAGTTTTGTGCACACATGCATCAAACAGTCAGAGAACCAACTGTGGGCGGCCCGTGGGCATGACGTCTGAGGCTGAGCCTAGTATATTAAAGTTGCGACTGTGACTGTGGAGGAGTTCAGCTCAGGTGAAAACTACAGAGGCATTAAACAGTATTTAAAAAGATCATTACCGGTTTAAATGGCACAGAACTTTGTTTCAAATGCAAAGTGAAACTTTATCAGTTAGGGCTGTGACGGTCGCTGTGACGGTCGCCGTGACAACCGCGTCGTTGTCTACTGCCACCGGCAATAGTGCACGTGACATCACGCATAGGGCTGGGTATACTTTTTTCGATACCAATTTTATGAAATCAATTTTAACAAGATTGCATTATCTAAAAAAAAAAAAACTTTGGTTTTATTTTTCAGCTTGTTGATGTTTATACAAACTC